GCATTCCTGGCTCGGCTTTCTGGCCAGACTCGGAGGAGTGATCTGAAATTCTTTGCTGGGGCAGATCATACTTGGTCAGAACGTTTCACTTCTAGATTGATGTGGCCTTGGAACTCTGCATCAGGTCTCCCAGTGTGACCTGGGAGCCTGGAGACTCCACCGGCCCTCCCTCCTGAACAGTCAGTCCTTTGAAAATGTATTGATTTCCCTCCTTCTCTTCCCTGCTTTTGCACTTTGGATGAACCTTGTTTTCGAAGAACAGTAGAAGGTAATTTTCCTGTGCTCGCCAGCTGGCCCGTAATTGAGCAAATTTCAGTAACACCCACTGTAAAGTCTAATCGAAGTAAACAGGAAAATATGATTTACAATCTGGACGGCAAGTAAATACCAGGGTGCAATTAATTTTTACACAGAGCAGCAGATTCTAAAACATTTTCCTGCACTGACCAGTTTGATTTTAATTACAGATTAGGAGCTGCTTTTTATTTATTTATTTTTTACTATTGTTATCGTTAGTTTTTACTTTTTGATGGAACCTGATGACCTTCAGGTTCCTCGGATCTCCGTGACTTCCTCTGAAGGTGTAACCACGGAGGGGTGGGATGGAAATAGGATCAGAGAAATTAATTCGTAAGGAGCGATTTTCCCAACCTGGACTGAAGGCTGCACTCTTTGGGCTTTTGCTTGGTGAGAGATGAGGGTGGGTCGGGGAGATGCTCCGGGCTGTGTAGAACGATGATGAGAGAGGGTCCCATCACTGCTGGGAGCTCAGAGGGATGTGCGCAGGCCGTGACTTGGTTTGGCTCATTCTGAGGAAGGGGACGGAGGCGACCCGTGTTGCAAATGTGTCATTTCGGAATCATGGTGCTTCCAAGGATGGGAAGTATGTGCCTTTAAATGGACCCTCCTAGTTCTTCCAGTGGCTTCCTTCAGACCTGGGCAGAGAACAGGAGCCACCTTGCCGGCTGCAGGGTCGGCCCGTGTCTGACCTCAGCCGACCTCAGGCTGTCTGTAGGGCTAGCTCAGCGTAGGAGGTCACACGGCTTGAGCGCACTTCGGGGACAGCAGTCTGTGAGCAGCCCAGACCCTGAGATCTGTCTTAAAGGTGCCACGAGGCTGAGCTGGGATTCACTGTTGTGCCCACCAGGTGTTGGCTCTAGGGCCACCCTAAGGCTGGCCTGTGGGTGGGTGAGGACTTCGGGAAGGCCATTCCGGCCTTCGTGGCCCCCGCCAGGATATCTCTCCTGCAGCGGAGAGGCGGTTCTATTCCCCTGCAGGGTCCCAGCGTGCAGGGGAGGGTGCGGCTCTCTCGGGGCCCTGGTCTGCCCCAGTCCTGAATCCCTTTGCGTTTCTTTTATCTTTCCAGGGAGTTGACCACACTTGGCCATTTCCTGGAAGAGCCCCACCCTGAGGGTGAGCAGCCGATGGAGAGCTGTTTCTGCTGACATCATCATCCGGGGGGTGCCCAGGAGGTCGCCTCTGCCCAAGTCTGCCCACCCGAAGATGGCTCGTGCCCACCCTGGGCTGGCGCCCAGTGCCTGAGGTCCTTACCATGGTGATGATCCTAAGTCAAAGCCTCGACAAGCAGGGAGCTGACCTCGTAGCGTGCAGGACCTTCATCCCTGAGCTGGTAAGGACCCGCTGGCCTGGCTTCTCTGGTGACCCTTTTGAGGCCCGATATCCAGGTGGGGCTGTGGACTGAGGAAGAGAGCTTAGCAGATGTGCCCAGAGGGCCCGCGAGCAGAGCTCTGGGAGCCGTGGCAGGCGGGGCAGTGGAGCAGAGTCACCCGGAGCCCGGCTTCGCCCTCACAAGAAGGAATTAGCCAGCCCAGATTCGAGTCCTCTGGCGAGCGGGGGGGCAGGCCAGCACCCTGGTAAATAATACCAAGCGTGCTTCTGCCGCCCCTGCCGGGCTGAGACCCACATTCCTTCTGGTCTCCACCCGGTCAGGAGGTGGTTTCCAGAAGGTGGGGTGGTCAGTGCGAGCGAGAGCTGCCGCCTCAGGAATGTCCAGAGTGGGGGACGGTGGAGAAAGAAGGCGCGGCCTGGCGGCCAAGGTGGTGGGCCTGGTGGCGGCTGCCCCCCGCAAGGGTGGTCCTCGGACCAAGTGGCCCGGTGAGCCTGGCCAGAGAGGCAGACAGCCGGCCTTCTTAGGCTGCGAACAAAACGGCCTCCTCACCCTCCTTCTGTAGCCCTAATTCCTAGGAAGTGGGTGGGCTGCTCCCCGGCAGAGGGAGCTGAAAGCAGTCCCACTCGGGCATAAACACTCTTGTGGGGGCTTTTGCATGTGGGTACGTCCCAGGGACTCTGCTGCTTCTGTGGTCAGGGATGGGGGCACTGTCCGGGGTCATGTCACCCAGCGCCCCTCCTGGCGCCCTTCACGGCCCCTCGTGAGACCCCACGCTAGCACCTAGTGGGCTTTCTCCCCCAATCTTACCCCACCACCCAGGTCGAGAGCAGGCAGGTGGGTCTTAGGTCCTCATAAGAGCTTGTGAAAGCCACCAAGACCTGTGTCCACTCCACAGGCCTTCACGGAGCACCTTGGGCTGAAGGAGTTCCGTAAGACAAGTAGGGTCTCTGCCCATCACTCCTTCCTTTCCAATTTGTGTTGAATATATATCTGTCAGTAGGTTGCCTCTCATCATCCCCACTGCTGCTGCTCTGGTCCTTCCTGCGTACTCTCTCATCTGGATTCTTTTGGGAACTGGCCCCCGCTTCTGGCTCCTTTAGCCTGTTTGCATTACCCAGCAGCCAGAGGGAATGCAAGTCAGACCGTCCCACCTCTGCTCAGAGCCTTCCACAGGCTTCCCGTCTCAGGCTGAGCAAACACCAGACTCCTACTGGGATGTATGAGGGCCGGTGTACTCTGGCCCCCGTGACCACTGTGCTCCCTCTCCGCTGCTCTCCGCCACTGACTCTGTTCAAGCCACGCCGGCCTCCCTGCTCTACGTGCCTCAGGGCTTGTGCACTCCTTCCCTGGCCTGGAACGCTCCCTGTTAGCAGGACTCTCCCCCTCCCTCCTTTTCTTTGGCCACTTGGCCTAAAATCTAATTCCCCTACCTCCTTACCCCCATGTACTGCCTGTCCCCTTTTCCCTGTCCTTTTCTTTCCAAGGCGCTTAACCACTTTCTAACGTTTTGATCTCGTTCACTGAATGACTCCTGCCCCAGAGTGTGAGAGCTTCACAAGGCAAGGACCTTTGTCACTCTCGCTCCTTGCCGAATACCCAGTGCCTGACTCTGGGACCTAGTGCATGGCAGGTGTTCAGGGGACATTTTGGAGCGAGTGAATGCGGGTCCCTGTAGCCCAGCTTCTCGGCTCGTCATCGTTCAGTCCCTTCTCTGCTGCTCAAGTTCACAGCTGAGGGGGGTGCAGGTATGAGTTGCTCTGTTTTCTGTGGTTGGTGGATGTTTTCCCGCTGAAATGAAAGCACTCGTGTAGAGTAGCTCTGACCAAAAAGCAACGGCTCTCAGGGTGAGGGCCTCCTGGAGGGCCCAAGGGAGGCCCCCTCTGGCTCCAGCTGTGCTGTTTGCCTCAGTTGCCGCCGCTGAGCTTGGTTCCATCTGGGGGTGGGCCTGCCTGGGCTTGGCCGTGGAGCTGGGTCCAGGGCCCGCGGGCCCGTGGTCAGCTGAGCCGGTCTTCAAAGAGACAGGGCCTGAGCCCTCGCCAGGAGGAGCACGGCCTCCCAGCCCCAGCCAGGGAAGGAAAACTCATCTTCTCAGGAAAAAAAAAGGAGAGAAAGCCAAGGGAAGCACAGGGCCATCGAAGGGGGCTCGGTGGCTTCACAGGTCGGGGTCTGGCTTTCTTCCCACACCCCTCCCCTTCTTGGAAAGTCATCGCCTTCTGTGTTGCTTCTCTTCTTCCTTACCCTGGACTCCCGGATGGGCAGCCCAGCTGTGGGCAGCAGCCACCTTCGGAGAGCGGCCTTCTCCTGTGTCAGTTGGTAGGTGCATCACAGGTTGTCAGCACGTTACAGGTCTGGCCTGGTTCTGCTCTCACGGTGCAGGTGGAAGCACAATGAAGGCAAGCAGGAGGATGGGAGCGTAGTCTGTGTGGGGCCTGCGGAGTTGCCATCACCCCTGCCTCTCCTGGAGCCTCCCCCAACCTGCTGAGGGGTGGGGACTCGTCCATCTCTACCTGCTATACAGGCAGGAAACAGAGAGCCCAGGGGACGGAGGGCCCACGTCACACAGCTGGCGAGCAGGGTGCCAGGACACAGGCTTCAAGTCCAGGCCCTGTTCACCCACCAAGGCCCTCACGCCCGCCCCCACCCGGCTCCTGAGGCTGTGGTCCTGGAATCCGCTAGGCCTTGGGGAGAGGCACGGCTGTAAACAACCAAAGAAAGACCCTAAATAAGACCAGCCTAGTGATGACATCCACAGAATGTAAGATAAACTGATTAGAATTTGCTCTGAACAGCCAGCAAGTTTGAGAGGAAGATGGGGGTTTTGCTTCAGCTTCCTAACCGGGTAACATCATCCTCATGTAAATACCATCAAGATAATAACAGGAAAGATGGAAAAGCTTTTCTCTTTTGTTTTCTAATCAGACTAAGACGATAACAGAAGTTGGGGGTTCAGATTAAAAAAGAAATCATGAATCACCACAGGCCGCTTTGGAATTAGGGAAGTGAGAGGCCCCCCCCCCCCCCCCTGGGGGGGCAGGACCAAAAGTGCAGCTAACAG